TGTAAGGCATGGAGACTACCAAGCTGTCTATGGTAGTTTGGTCTATGTAATTATTAAGCAAAAATTGTAGCTTCTGTCCAATGGCAATATGTTTCCCTGCCTTGTCCCAATTTCTTTTGATTAATGCAAAAAGATTTTCAATGGGATTTAGGTCCGGGCTGTTGGTGGGGGTAAAAGTGCTTCGAAGGCCGCAGGCAGAGAGACTGGCTGTGGTCTAAAATATGAGATTATATTCGTAGACTGAATTGTAATCATACCTCCTTTGAGCGGTGGACAGGGGCATTATCCTGCAACATTACAGTGTCCATTCGACGTCTATGAATGCCGTTGTAACCGAAGGCATCCTTTACTATATCGATGAACACCTTGCTATTTATCGTCTCCACTGTTGAACGCCAGATAGGTCGCTCTCCGAATTTGATGGCCATCCAAACCATCAGGCGTCGGCAGTTCTTGAAAGTTGGCGTCGACATAGTGTGCTCTCGTGGAAAGTTCTTCCCGCATATGACCACCTGGGCCGACTTCGGAGGCTTGTCTAAAAATAAGACTTCATCACAAAAGTAAATGCTCTTCCAGAAGGAAAGTGTGTAATCGATATATTTTTGAGCAAACAAAAAACGTTCTCTTATACGTTTTCTACTTAAAATGGCTTTGTAATGGCGTTTTGCTGATGGAGACCGAACTCTTTCATTCTTTTTCTAGGTATGCGCATAGAAAACATTGAGAGATGTTCCCTAATAAATCACCTTAAGGGGCATATAATGATACATTTTCAGTGTCCGACGAATGAAGTCGTCGTCTTGCTTGCTTGTGAACCGTTTTGGCCCACCTTGCTTAGTTCGAGGCATTGTTTTATTTTCAATAATTCTCCAGAGAGTGACCTGGCTAATGTTGAAAATACTAGCTAACGACTCATGCGGCAGCCCTTCGGCTGCCAATTTTCGTATCCGCTCAAAGTGAACTTCCGATATGAACTGCTTTGACATCTTTGCTGCGCGGCGTGGCGAAGATAATTGGCAGCATAAAGTGCGTAATCTATATGTACGTGTTTACGCCTACTAGTTCCCGGTGTACTAAAACAAACACAGTCGAAAAAGCTTATTACTGCGTTTAACAATATAAAACGTTACAATTTTGCAAAATGGAATTTAGGAAGAGCAAATTACTTCTTGATTCATGAGAATTATGTGTCTTTACATACTTAACTCGACCTGATTTTCATGAACTAAAAATCACAATTTCCGTCTCCAGAGTGGCCTCCTTTGATATATTTCTTTGTTATATGAAAGTTTATAACGTAACGCGTGCAAACTAGAAGTTTTAATAGAGAATAATTATTAGAATAGGATATTAAGTGGTTACCCGGATATGTCAAAATTTGCCAAAATTTGGTCCGTTTCCCCTCAATAAAACTGAACTAGCATGACTTATTCTTTAGAAAATGGCTTTTTGGAATTCTAATCAATTATAAAAACAAAAATAATCCCATCAAATATGTGCCGTTCCTTCAACTCAAATACTGGTCTCGACATTTCATGAGTTAGGTCATCTACTGTAGCCGTAGCCAAGTCAGTGTGTCTGTTGGCTTCCCCGCGCCAGTCGGCGGACTGATCAGTGGTTGCTGTTCGTGTCAGGCGCTTTCAGCCTGAGGGGCACATCGGTGAGGCAGTGTTCGACTTGGGGCCCCTGGCCTTTGGCCACCACCTCCACCTGTGAGTGTCGGCTCTCGACTCCGCGTGCTCGCCTGTCCTATTGGTCCTGTCCTCCATTCAGCCAATCACAAGCCTGAGCAGCAGCTGGGGCCAGAAACGCAAACACGCGCACAGACCCCAGTGGTGGACCAATTGCGCAGGGTGTGTCTGTGCACATGTTCGTGTTTCTGGTCCCAACTGCTAGTCTGGGTTATGATTGGCTAAATGAAGGCAAAATAAGCCCGAAACAGTACTGTATCATTCTCGTTCGCTGCCATTATACCTTGACCGACTTCTGCCTGGTATTTGGTCGCCTGTTCGTGACCCGTATCACCCTCGCGAAGCTTGTTTGCATCGGGAAGCCAATGGATCGGTGTACGCCCATTCCTGAGTGAATATATATTTACATATATTCAATCATGAATGTGCGCACCTCGACCTATTGGCTTCACGAAGCAAACAAGCTCCATATGGATGGCAAAGGTCACGAACAGACAACCAATTACTAGGCCGAAGCCGGCCAAGTCATAATAGCAGTGAGGAGGGAAGACAGAGAATGTAGGTAGATTGATACAGTCCTATTTCGGGCTTATTCTGCCTTCATTCAATCAATCATAACCCTGACCAACAGCTGGGGCCAGAAACACAAACGTGCGCACAGAGAATGACGGGTGGCAATTGGCATCAGATTGCATTTGCGCCTAGATAGCTTAAAAATGGTCCTGAAAAAGACGTTATACACCAGTGGAAGCCAAAATTTATATCGCTTTTAAGAGATCAGCGGAAGAAGCATCGACATGGTTAGACCGAGCTATGTCCCGCCTTCGTCGAGGACTTGAGGACAAAGGTCAAAATAATGAAAGTGATAATTGGGTATCCGAACTACGACGTTCACTGTGGGCTCCACGCAGTGAACACAGGACAATGACTTATGTGTGAACCGGTTTGTAATGAAGCAGACCTACGCAGCCTATACTGCATTCCTTTTTTCTTCTCTCGCCCTACAAGCTCCGACAGCAGGAAAATGTTGAGGCGACCAGAGGTGGGCTCGGGCCTAGGGCTGATATGGTCAACCAGCCCGTTCACGCGTGCCACATAAATGGTCTGGTCCTCATTACATTCACCAGGCAGGCGTAAGGTAGACTCAGATTTCGCTTGCGTGAGATTGCCACGGAGACCACATAAAGGAGTCACTGCAGCCCAGCCCTCATTTCAGAGAATAGCCGGGTTATACCGTTAGTTTGCCATCCCCTAAGCCGCGAATCCTACCGCATCCTGAGATCTTCAGGCGTCAATAGAAGCGAAGAGACGAGCCCCAGGAAGAAGTCTAGAAGAAGGAGACACGAACTTTATTAGACAAGAGCTTTATTAGCCCGACGTTTCCGATTTCTGTTCAAATCCATCATCAGAGACAAAAGCAGATACGGGCGGCTAACACACAAGGGGCTGCAGTATTTATAGAATGCAGTCGCCATGCTACCGCATACCTATGAACATTCACGGCTCCCCCTTTCATCCGGGATCGTTGCACTTGGTGTGCTAATGGCTTGGTGGCCGACACTCACGTCGTTAATTGCTGCAATTTCATCACGTGCGTTGGATGTTGGTGTGATGATTGCTCGACCATCTGACGCACCGACCCTGGTGTTGGGATAGGTGTTCACATGTGCGCTCCCCACATGATTAATTACTCCGCCTAGGCGAAGTTTCAGCACAGAGTATGGAGGTGGAAGTTCATTGCACTTGTTAATTGACTGGGGGCCAGTAAACCATGATTCAAATAGCTCCCGGCTCACGCGGTTGTCCCCTCTTGCGAGAATTTCGACCTCGTCGACTACGAATGTGTGGCATTCAACACTTAGCTTAATTTTCGGTTTGCTCAGTTCCTTTATACTTTTCGGCAGGTAGTTTGTCTGGTCTATGCATAGTTTCGGAAACGCAAACGTGCAGTCTCCGTCAGAACTTTGTCCCAGGATGCGGACTGTGTATATCAGCTTGTCAAAATTTGACGTGCTGGCCCACACCAATATATCGTGCCTCCATATTCTACACCGTTTATACTGCAAATAGTGCAGCTTACTGAAGGATTTCATGTCTCTCAACATACCCGCTAAATGAGAAGAAGCAAACCTGATGGCCGGGACAAGAACTTTATTCGCCTAGGGCTTCGGATTTATGCGCCAATCCATCATGAGGGACAACATCACATATGGGTTGTTAAGGTACAGAGGAATTTCAGTATTTATTAGATGCAATCGGTATGCCACTGCATACCTATGAAAAGTAACTGCTCCCCGTTTATCGGCAGATTGCTGACTTAAATAATGGCTTTGCAATAATGCCTCGATAGTTGGCATTCGAGTTATTAGTCCCCCTACTTCACCACCGTTTTAGATTTTGGAGTGGTAATTACCCGGCCATTCGGCCCACTGAAAATGAGTGCTGGAAAATCGGTGTTCGTCTGCGCTCTCCCCGGCGCGGCTAATTATTCTGGCCAGGTTTAATCTCAGCCCCGAATACTGGGGAATGCGGTAGCGATGCGGCTCCAACCCTTCACGGGTGAATTTTCTGTATCTGATGCTGTCTCGGACAGTGGGTTCGAACATGAATCCAAAACTTCGGGCAAATTGAGTTTGTGTCCAACCGATCGCGTCTTATTCTCAACTGCTCTCTAAGACTCGTATTTCTGCCCATACCCGCCAGTTTTGTTTGCGCGCATTATTTTCAGCTGGGGGTTTGCCTACAACGTAGGTAATACTAGTTCGCGATATTGGTACCTTCGAAAAATGACAGTAACTCCGGTTTTTTCAAAATTCTACACTGTCCGGAAGTCACTCAACATCGTTACCATATCTTAGCTGTGGCCTAGTCAAGTGATATGTGGGTTTTGGAATATCTAGCCGGCCTTGAAATGGGGTTTTAAGCTAATTAATTAATTTTTTCTTTCACCTATGAGTCGGCAAAAGGTAAATTGACTTTGTCGGGAGGTGGCTCATGATTACGATCTTTTCTTCCGAAATGCAAAGGCATTCACCGATTACACTGCCACCTCTGTAATTAACGTTTTGTCTTAGCGCTCTCCTCTGCGCACTTGCTCAGCCGCACTGCCTTTTATTGGCTCTTTAGACTTCTCAGACGAATTGCGATCATCTGAAGTCAACAACCAATCCAGTCTCTTCCTTCTTGCCTCCTCTGTGATACCTCTGTCGTTTTTGCGTAATTCCAGATCCCCATTAGTGAAAACAGTTCAAGCACAGCTCCTACTTCTGTCCTTACCGGAAGTGATGATCGTGTCACTGACTTCATGAGATGCTGATTCAGGAGGATCCCGACTGGCAGTACGTAGATTCACCCTGGGATTTACTGAGAGACTGCAGAGACTACGAGAAGGGAAATGCAACCCAGTTCGGAGCCTGTGTGCTCTCACACATACTGGGCATTACTTCAGCCTACGTTTTTCCTGTTGTTGCCACCTTTGGTGTCATTTCAAATTTCCTCGTCTTCTACGTGTTTCTCTTTGTCTTCCGACGCTCCAGTCGCCAGATGATATACCTGGGCTGTGTTGCTATTGCCGATATGATGACCATCGTTACTTTTGGCTGGATGTGGATGTTTCCGGCCAAGGGGCTACCCTATGCCACCGGTGGACGCCTTTACTTTTTTGTCCTTAATGTGAATGATTTATCCTGCAAACTCTTTCGCTACGTCTACTCCTTCACCTCCTGCCTCAGTTCCTCCCTCTTTCTCGTCACCGCCTGCGACCGCTGTCTGTGTGTCTACTTTCCCCTAAAGTTCTCCCGTCTATCCAAAAAACGAGCCTGGCAGGCCGTGGGCGTCACAATCCTCTGCTGTTCCCTCCTGATGCTGCCCTATCCCATTCTCGCGAGACACGGCAAATTCCAGGGCAAAATGATCTGCTGGGTGCATGAGGGCGAAAATCTGTTGCAGATCTACCACGTCCTACTGGCCAACAGTAGCCTCCTTCAGACCTTCCTCGTCATCCTTGTCAACATAGCCCTGGTTATCCGACTGCGCCAGAGTGCAGCCCTGCGCGAAGCCATATCAAAATGTGTTAGCGTCAGCAAGGAGATTGCTGCCTCCATGCTGCTGGTCATACTCTCGACCATGGTGGTCATCTGCGCTCTGCCCCAGTCCGTGGCTTACATCCTCTCCACCATCCTCGCCAAGGTGCTGGAGGGCGAACACGGCCGTATGGTGGTGCGGATGACCTTCAATGTCTCCGATCTCGGCTGGCATCTGCTCTTCCTCCAGCAGTCCTTCAACTGGCTGCTCTACATGAAGAGAATGAAGAACTTTCGCCGGGCTAACATGAAACTGCTCCAATGTCACTGCAGATTCGCTCAGGGCATGCTGGGAGAGACATTTGGATCTGTTCACTATCTATCAACTCGGGCTAGATATGTGACCAGTGAGGTGCGAAATGCCCGTATGAAGGAAATCAGCACGGTGTGGACAGTCTCCGAGTTTGGACGTGTGAGACCTCTGGATGCCAGCGGAACTCCAGAATCCAGAAAATTCAGAGATAATATTTACAGAGCCAACACAAGAAGGGTTTTTCCCAGTTTCAATGAAAACGCAACGATTTCTACAAAGTTTTAATCTCTGCCTTGACAGATCATGAGTTTTGTGTTTTCGTGAGTGAAACCGGTGCCTCCAGTCTTTTTACACTCCTACTTTTATACATTCCTCCAGTATGCGGAGGTAGTTTAAGATGCTTTCCTGAATATCATTTCTCGTTTGAATGACTGTTCAAAATTATGCATTCCAATGCTGACTGGTAATAGCTGACTATTTTGCGAACTCACAACATCTAATAGGTGCCTTGGCAATGAAAGAGTAGGCAGGTTGGCCTATTTGTTGGGACCTACTTCTCGGCGTCAATTCGGGCTGCAGTCCTGACGGAGGATATATCGGATATAGTCGCCGGTGTTTTAAAAAAATCCGATGTTTTATTGTACCGGCAGATGTTCTTTCTAGGGTAACCGCATCAGTCACAGTCAGTATGTTGAAAATGTAGTATGGTCATGTAGCCCCACCTGATGGACACAATACTGCTGGGTTAGGGTTTGGGGCTGTTGTGAAGGGTTAGAGTTAAAGGGTTAGGTTAGAGGTTGAGGTTAGGTGTTAGGGCAACTATTTCTCAACCATTCAAAGTACAACTTTGCATTCTCCAATAGCTCTTCTTATGCATACTTGACCTCGTCACCTGTACGTTCACCGGCCCCATCTGCAAAAACCTATATTAACGCCGATCCCGCATTGCAGGCGGCTAGGGGTTGGTCGATCTCAAGTGGGGCTACATTGTTTGTCATTGTTGCCTATGGCTTACTCAAACACATTTGGCTTTGATCACAGAAAAGCCGAATACAATAATAAGTGACGAAGTCTGAGACCAGGCATCAAATTCAAGCATGCAAAATCAGCTGACGTAGGCGACGTTTCTTAATTAATGAACGAGTGGGACACTTTACTCCCAACAGTGGACGGGCTTTTCTAAGTGCATGAGTTAGCATTCACGACTTCAGGGGCTAGTTGGTAGTCTTGGTATTTCTTTGTCATAATTTGTCCTCAAGTACATATTTTTGCCCACATAGATGCCAGTCTGTCCCTGACAACAGTTCAACTGTCGTGACCGACGCTGTTCACTGTGGGCTCCACAGCAGGGTGAGAGCAGAGATGCCGACTTACGTGTGAGTTAGTTTAAAGTGATAATAGACTTGCGTTGCCCTTTCGTCTCCTCTCCGTTTGGACACGGTGTCAAGACATAGTCAGGAAGACTGCAGGGGGGAGGACACAGGTGGTTGGCAGGGCAAAACCCGTACCTAGACGTACCACACCACAGCGCTGCTCGACAGCACACACTGACCAGGATAATAGACAACAAGAAAGATGAGGGCGGCTTGGCTCCCAGCTGGCGCTGCGTGAACCGACAAGTGGGTCTACCACCACACCCAGAAATGGTGGCATTTGATATGGGTGCATTTTTCCAATAACATCTCCCGGACCTCGATCTAACCGCGCGTTGGTTCAGTGCATCTACCGCGTGGCCCCTTTTAGGGGCGAGATTTTTTATTGCCAGAGGCGACGAAGGATGAACATGGGACTGAACCACATTTTCATCCTTACTCAGTCTGTTAAGAGCTCACTGCTGATAAGTATGGAGAGGCGTCGTCATAAAGGGGAGTGCGATCTTCATGTAGACAGGGCTCATTTGATTCGAATGAATTATTCTGACTTGTTGACCGCCCTTTCGGTCATGACCATTGGACGACTGCAGAACGGATTGCGCGACGGTGATTTCGCTTAAAAACTTTAAGCAGCAATGCTTAACACAACTGCAACATTTTGCATACTTCTAGCCAAATTAACTTGCCGCCTATGGTGACGATAGGTTGCGACGGGCTGTTTTCTGATCAAGATACTGGCTACCCATCGATCTTCTTGAACCTCTTAACGTTCACCTGTGCTGCGAACAACTAGAAATAAACGTTTTTGTCATTTTCCTAGACATGCGCCTGATAATTATTTAATTTCCTCCCATTATTGTGCCGTCCGAGGCCGTAGTGGTCAAACAGATGTCTGCTTTCATTTCTACTTCGAATGAAAGACCTTCACTTTTAATTGGGCCACCAGATACTTGGGACGAAAATGCAGAGGAAGTATGCATTTTGGAAAGTTTAAGCATGCAGACCGCCCTACCTCTGGTTTGTCCTATGGAATATTCACAAATGCGCTAACCCGGATGTTAGCCTTCGCGTCTAGACCTGGTCTGTCTGGGAGCTGACTAAACTCAGAGAAAACACCGAAAAGAACGAGGAGATCTCAGTGCTATCCGCCATTTATTTGTGTCAACATGTACGCTGAACTAGAGACTAAACACTGAAATTTCCGATTTGATGCAAACCCAGGTGCGGTACTAGCTCTCAGACCAAAAGTCAGCATCTTGTTGTCAACTACAGAAACCCTGCATTTCGTCGTAATCGACGAAGCGAGCAGCAGAACACTGTAATTTTTGCTTAACCTGCCTATTTAACCTGAAATGTGAACTTTATCCATCCTCAGGTCCAATTAGGGCTATCTAACGAACCATGCAATAAATGATAGCCTGAGTATGTTCTTATTTTTCGAATACCTCCTGTCATCAGCTGACCATTTCTGCCGTGTGGATGCCTTCAACGAACGTCGATCTTAGTTCCAACACAGAAGTGAGTGAAGTAGCTTCAACATGCAGTCCGGCCACATCACTAGCTGACACTCCCCAACAAGGCTGATGAATGCTTTTCGATACAAGTTAACCCCTTAACATTGTGGATTAATGTACCTGTTTACGCCGCAAAAGGCCAGTTACTAATCTGCGGATTTGTGTAGCAAATTTGCCTCTTCGCTCAAAAATCGGTCTAAATTTGGTTCTAATTTCTAGGCCGAATAACCCTAGCCAACTCTTCAACTGGACAGTAAGTGCAAAGTCCCTCGAAACACCTTTCTGCTCTCATTGTACAAGGGAAGATTTAGGCCTTATTCTGCAAGCAAGGTTCAAAGCATACCAGCAAAACACGGGACATCTCTGCTTCAAATTTCGCATTGCATAAGTAAAGAGAAATAGAAGTATTGGCAACTGGCAAATAGGGTGTATCGACTGTCAACATGGATTCAGGCTTTGCCTGGACAAATTCAGATCTGTCGACGAACACGGCAGTCAAGGAACTTTTTTCGCGACCAGATACGCCAGGCGGACGAGTGTCAAATAGAACATGCCTTAGACTGCCAAACTGTTCTTTTCTAACCACCAAACAACCATTCTGCGCTCGTCGTGTAGTCACCAAGTAGCCAAATCCAATCAGCGATTTTGTTAGTGTGCTTCCGATAATTCAACCCGCAGCGACTCGGGAGGACGAATATGGGAATTCCGGCTTTGCCCTGAAACAGTTAGGAAGGAATGTCCGCCCAGAAAATGTAGTTGTTGCGAAGGGCCAACAGGAGAAAGCCACCAACGCCCTAGTACTCTACCATACATAAGACATGTGTTATAGGCGGCATAAGGCATTAATGCTGAGTCTACCGAGGATATGCAGATGAAGGACCAGATGCATTCACTTGAGCAATCTGCCGTGTTTAATCAGACTCCAGGCCACGGGCCGGACAGCGCGACGACTTCACAAATGCATTAGCATAGCTAGACCGTTCAGAGAACCACCCGCTGTCTAAAGTCGCTACCTTCATCCCAGTGGAAAATCAAGAATCCCACTTCGCGGACACATTGGGTACAACACGGGTCGAAAGCTGTTGGAAGATTGAGTCGCCAGGGGGAACTTCATGAGCAGACATCACACGACCAGGTGACAAGGCCCAATTTACTGGCCCAAAGACGAACGCGACCGACAGGCAGTGTGACTCCAGCTTCAGCAAGGAACCAACGGACTCCCCAGTGCATTTCCCGGCAGGGTTGTTGGACCACAAGATCGCTCATTGATTATTTTCCTTCCACAGACTCTAAAGCTGGGCTTCTTCTTGCCTCTGGTCATAACATGATCGTCTCTTGTGTAATAAGGACTTGGCACTCGCATATTCGCCTCTATTAGGCTTTATTTAATACTGACTTTTGCAATCCTTCCCCTAATTCGTTATAACAAGTCCTTGGCTGAGCTCTACTTAGATAACCAAACTTTTGCCTGCTTGGATTTGTGAGAATGGAAAACGCCTCCCCCTTCCCTCTGCGTTATGTGACATTTCAACCGGTGCGCGGTGTGAATCTGCTCCGGCCCCTGGAAATAAGTGGTTAAAATACAGATTCCTGCCATTTGGCATTGAATGGAACTAAATAATAGAATTTAATTACGACTCGATCCTGTGACATTTGCCGATTCAGGTCACCGCGTTAGGTGTGCGACTCGTATCCCAGCAAGATAGGTTATAAGGTTCTGAACGAGGCGGTTAGCTTATGTATTTACAGTGTGTGACCGATCTCATGAAATGTAGGCCAAAATTCTTGAATGCATTTCCGATTAGGAAGGGTTACTTCAGTGGGGTTGTTATACGGATTATCATGCCGCATAACCGAATAAAATTTCGGACTTGCCAGGATGTCGGCTTTCGAATGAACTTCTTTCTGACCTTCTGCAGAAATCATACTCGGAAATAAATGACTACTTATGTAGCATGTATTTTTCCTATTGATTGTTGCTGTTTTTATAAATTCAAATACATTTTACAGAACACCTGCACAAAATATGATTTGGTAGGAAATTACATTGTCTTCATAATTTATGCCTGATGGAAGTGTGCATTTAGGTTTTAAAAAAGTTTCCCGACTCCCAAATAATTTTCCGCTTGATCTACTATTGCATCAGCCTTTAGCAATTTCAGTCTACAAGGTACATGCTTTCAGCGTAAAGAAAATCATATATTCCTCTATGCCTTTAAGTAGATATCACATAGGGTTCGTAAAATTTTGCAATGGATCCGGACTGTGTTGTACATTTCATGAGGAGCTTTAGTAAACGGATATGTGCGGTCTTGCATGCATGGACATCGCACCGTCTTAAAAAACTCATAATAAGAAACTTTTTAAAACCTAAATACACACTTCCATCAGGCATAAA